GCGTTTATGTTAATTCACTACAATGACAAGTGCAGGCTAATGAAGACTTGAAACTTGTATATTTAAAATTGCATTTTATTTCACAACTGAATTCCTCAATTAAACTCAGCTCCTGTGTGAAATGCAGACCCCCCTACTAAAAAACCCCTCATTCAAAACATAAGACCTTACATTCTTGTCTGCGATGTATGGGATACTGACCTAAAACTCACTGAAACATGCATCTCTCCATGATTTTTTTTTAATGCGCGCACAGGTGGAGCCAGGCGTGCAAGTGTACACCTTTCGGAGTCACCACTAACACACGGCTGGATTAATCAATCTGGCTTTTTAATAGTCTGATGTGAAACTGAGTCTGGTATGATGTCAGGTGATACACACTCACATTCTTCTTATTTTATGTGACATGGATAGTAATGGTTCTCCAGAACTTCCTTTCTTTTCTGTCTTTCTTATTCCATCCATTCACATAAGCTAATTAAATATGTACTCAAGATCTCTAAGGCCTCTTTCCTGTGTCCCCAAAATTTCAACTTTCTGTTTTAATTCTCCTTATTTTTAAAACTCATTCATTGTTCACATGTTCAGTTCAGGGTCTTTTTTACTATTTTCTCTAAAATTTCGTCGTTGCTCATATATTCCGTCCATGACATTCTCAGTATCCTTCTGTGGAACCACATGTCCGCTGTCTCAAGTCTTCTCTTCATCTGCGAGGATACTGTCCAGAATTCACTACCATATAGGAGGACTGATATTGCATACCAGTTCAGCGCCCTTTCGTTTGTTTCTAAGCTTTTGGATTGTTTTCCTTAGCTTTTGGATTTGATTGATTTATTTGTTTTTTACGGTTTATCAACCTTTTGCAGGTTATTTAAAACCAGAAAATAATATTAGATTGTAAGAATCTTTTTTGGCGGTAATAATGATTGATTGATAAAAGGTCTTACCAATTAACCAACAGGGTGGAGTGCGGGGGGAATGGTGTTTTAATGCCTTTCTCGAGGGTGTTTGTAAATGAATACAACGAAATCGAACTGGATTTGGAACTCGGAGAGCTGAGTTCCAGTTCCAATTCTGAGCCGTTAACCATTACACCGCCTACATATCTAAAATTACAACACCTAGTATTCCTAAGCGGTCACTCATATAGTTACTGACCATTGCTTAACCTTGGTTATCGTACTAGAATCTGTGTTTCAACATGATGTGACCGTAAGCCCTCACCTTTTGGAAGGTATATAACCACTTTACTATGATATATATACAATATAAAGCTACTAATTTTAATCGGAGTGCATAGGTTCGCCTATCGCCAGGTTCATGATCCTTCCCCGTCTTTTAAACAGGAGTAGGGTTTTATCTCTCGGTTCCGGTTTAAGATTGGGTTTCCGGTTCCTTCACCTAAAGTCTTCTCATTCGCTTTCACTACCAGTAACCCTCATGCGTCTTAGTGGCATTATCGCCTTACATGGAGTGAAATGATTAAATAATATGTAATATTTATGTACACTTGTGACAATGTAGTTTCTACTTCTTTTATGTGCCGTGTCCCTTCAGGACGTAAAAGATTATGGCTCTCCATTTCCTCCTGTCCTTTGTAGCCCTCAATAAGCTTTAACTTTTTGTTATTTCTCTCAGACCCTGTCCCGCCATACACTTGCTTAATCCCATTAAGCGTGACACGCATTGCTTTCCCTTGTCTCTCTTTCCATCTATCCGCCCTGTGAGTATCAGATTTTTCAAGCCTCACCCCCTTTCTTATTACGTGTCCCAGAAACCTCAGCTGCCTCTTCCTGATGTTATGTATGAGTTTCTTTTTTGTTTGCATCTTCTCCAAAACCTCATCATTGATCACATGTTCGGTCCTTAGCATCCTTTTGTAGAAGCACACCTCTGTTGCCTCGAGTCTCTTCTTCATCTTTGACGAAGCCGTCCATCATTCGATGCCGTAAAGGAGGCCAGATATCACGTAGCTTAGTGGTTCATAAAACGTTTTGGTAAGGATAATCAAAAACCTAATCTCTGAATGGTCGATGGTAATTCTAAATCTCTAAAATGTATGATGGATACACATACTTAAAGATTTATTTTAAACATATTAAAAATATGGGGTTATTATTTAATAAGTATTACACAATATTTTATTAATAGGCTCGACGGAGTGGAGTAATGTTTAACGATGTCTACTCTAGTCGAACGATACTCCAAAGTAGTGAGTTCCTCATTGGGTGACCTACCCAAAATTCAACAACAAGAATTGACAAAAATCAAAATCAAACAATCTAATTTAACCTAGTCTGGTTTAACCATTACTTACTGGGTGGCACGTGAAATAATTGTCAAAACGGTACTGGAAATTTACCTCTTCATCCGGTGGTGGCGGTAAAATCATCGCTGTGCCAATAATCTGAAGGGCCAAAAATATACAACCCAACATTATAAAACACCAGGGAACTCTCTCCAAGAGATCATCATTATCAAAATACCTGAAAAAAAAGATAAAAAAAAAAATTAAACAGAATAGATCTATGGTGGCGCCTCGAGAAAAAAAAAAGCAAGTAAGTTACAGTAATAACAGTAAAAGATGAAGAAGGCGTGAAAATAAGCATTCGAAATGCTGTTTTTTTATTACAGGTTTCTTTGCCTCATAACTCTGGCATTGGACCAAACTAAGCTAAGCTTAACATATATGTAGGTGGCTATTATGAGTTTCGACTAGAAAGTTCATAGGCTGACCAAGATATAAATGTAAGTAAACATACCAATTGGTACACTAAAAAGATATGTGAGTATAGCAGATACAACAGTTGTCATATTTAACGTATTGTTGTAGCATACCTACGCACGATAATGGATATGTCTGCATTCACATAAATACAGTAGTAAATACTGTATGTTGGTCTGCCTTTGGAGATTCGTCAAACTCTCTGCCTCCGGGCAAAGAGGATCCCCAGACTATGTCGAAGGGCAGAGTTTCGTCTCGAGAAACAGCTACCCGAACCCGTTTCATACGGGATCTACAGGAATTTTTTGGCCGAGCCTAGGGGTTTGGATAACCCACATTAAATTTGGCCTTGTGCCACATCTGACCGTATGGGGCGGTTGGTAGATTCATTGTGAAATTCACTTAACTCGCTTCTAGTAATTGACTACTACTTCTACGCGCCAATGACGAATCTTCTATGTGTTGTTCTTGTCCTAAGTATTATCGTTCATTACCAACCTTCGTGTGATTATTCTATTTAGTAACCTTTCCTAGGTTACAACACGTATATAATTGCGTATCATGTGACTTTTGAAGACATAATTTTGAAACTAATTTTAAAGGGGTCGTATCATACACGAGATATATAACTTTGGCAATTAAGTGAGCCATTACACTGGCTCCGTGTTGGTCGAGGTATATGACAAAGTGCACGGTTAAGTGCTTTTGCTTTGCATAGTTACACCTAGTTCAACTTTTCGTGATATCATTCCTGACAAAAGAAAATATTTAATAATTATAAAAGACTTGTAATTAATAATGATAAAAATGACACATAGTTAACATTAGAAAAAAGGTAGTTAAAATTTCTAGGGCTCATAATGTGGAAAAAGGAGTTGGACAATTTGATACTCAAAGAGATTGAAGGCAAGAGGGACAGAGAGAGAGAGAGAGAGAGAGAGAGAGAAAACAACACATAACCTACTGTATATACTCGCGTGTCATGCGATTTTGAAGACCTAATTTTGAAGCTAATTTTTAGGGGGTCGCATCATACACTAAATATAAAATTAATGTATGTACTGCTGACCCTGGCTACGCCTTTGACCAAACTATATACCCATTTACTGGAGTCAAATTAGCTTCAAAATTAGGTCTTCAAAGGTCGCATGATACGCAAGTATATACGGTACTTACATTTATATCTTGGTCAGCCTATGAATTTTCCAGCCGACCCTCGTACACCCTTTTGCAAATTAATTGAAACATCCGCTTCAGTTACCTTTTTTTTTCGCCATACGACCAGTTTTAGACTCACTGCATCAGATTTTTATCACGCCCAGACACTATTGTCTCGACTGTCGATTAGTTGTCCAACGGCCATTGTCGGCGATGGGCGTTACTTCAAGGAAGCGTACGAAAATTGTAATGCTGTATGAACACACTGGCACGCCTTACCAGTGAGCAAATCAAAGTACTATAGACTAACCCGGAAACTCTTCTGATTTAAAACCAATCGAGAATCTGTGGTCAGTCTACAAGTAACGACTTCGTACTAACATGTGCACTGGGAAATACGAAAAAAGTAAATTATAACAGAATTATTCGTTTTGTTTCAATTAATTTGCAAAAGGGTGCGATGATTTGTAAGCGTGTTCATTGATGCAGTCGATTTGATTTTAACTTGTTTCTCCCGTTATTATGTCCTTGTGTCAGATTAAGCTATGTTTAATAAACGAAAAAATTCTTTAAGAATTTATTTGTCAATTTTTTTTTTTAAAAAACGGATGTTTACAAAGGACGTCTCGAAGATATTTTGTCACTTTCTCTTACGTTATTTTCCATCATTTTTTTTTGTAAGATTCCTAAGGCAGAAACATTGGAATCATTTTTTTTAAATGTGTTACTGGCTTTTCATTTTTTTTTTTTTAAATGTCTATCATACTTACTTTTCGTCACCTATCGTAACGTTTGGTTTCAAGTTCTCTGGGTTAATATAAGCAGTCACGACTTGCGTAAAGATGACGGAAGAACCTCCATGACCAGCCAGAACTATCCCTGATACTGTGCTTTTCCAGGCAGGCAACCACTGTAAAAAATCAACATTATATATTATATATATATATATATATATATATATATATATATATATATATATATATATGTGTGTGTGTGTGTGTGTGCGTGCGCGTGTGTTTATGTAAATTTTCAGATATAATTAAAATATATCTGTAAACTGACATGAAGAATAAAGAAAAAAAATAGAAGCTTTTCTTTAGCAACGTGTTCTGGGTTTATGGCCATATGACATTGAAACACAGGTTCCCGTGCGATCACGGAAGTTAAGCAATGTCGAGACTGGTCAGTACCTAGACAGGCGACTGTTTGGGAATGTATATGCTTGTAATGGATAACGGCTCGGAATTGGAAATCAAAGAGTCGAGTTCCAATGCCTGTCGGGTTCGTTAAATTCCTTCACGCGCAAATACTTATGGGAAAGATATGGATCCACCTCTTATCACACACAGTTAAAGGTTAATTATTATGATGAGTGTGATATAGGAATAAACTGCTGACACTTGGGTTTGAACGTAATACGCTAGTGAACAAACACAGGCGATCTCATTATTAAATTAAGTAGATCACGTGACCATATCTGAAACGCATATATTGAGGAAGTCTCGTGACGTCTTAGATGTGTTCATTATTTCTCCTCTATCCCTTATACTATTCGGACCTCTATTTTCTTCACTATACGAGGTACTATTAGTACGGGTATTATTCTAAGGCGTCTGACACCCGTATTATTCAACGGCGTATTATAATTGGTATCTGCGATTACAAAGTGTCCTACTACGTTGGCATTAACGAAGTATCAAGCAAGTGTACGTTGTCAGCATTAAAATGGCAATAAGTGGTCGTATCGACGAAGCAAAAATAAGTATTAGTAAGTAATTCATTAATATCTTGCCAAAATTCTCACGATTTAAAAAAAGATTCTTGCTTTAAATGAGTTTCAAATGTTTAATAAACCGTAAAGAAGCAATCCACCCAAGTGACGCTTTTCGTCCTTTGAAGGATTTTATGAAGGTAAATATAATGATTTTGCTAGAGCACCTCGAGGCGGTGTAATGGTTAGCAAGCTTGGCTCGCTAGAACATTTACGATTGTGTAGTGTGTTCGATCCTCACAGGGTCCCTCTTACATTCGGCCTCGTGCCACATCTAGGCTATGCTTAGAAAATCACTATTGGGCACCTCGAGGCGGTGTAATGGTTACCAAGCTTGGCCCGCTAGAACAATTACGACGGAGTAGTGAGTTCGATCCATACATTCGGCCTTGTGTCACATCTAAGTTACGTTTAGAAAATCACTATAATGATTTTGCTTTGCCACATAAGGTAACCAAAAAGGCCTTGATGTTTTCTACGTCATGTGGGAAAATGTTTTCGCACATCAGAGCATTACGTGCCTTGGTAGAGGTGAGAATGAGTTCATTGCTCTTGACTAATTCAGGCGCGTTGCGTACACACATCAGTCCTAGCTCAAGCAGCGGCGAGGAAATATGGAAGTGTTGAAGCAGCTTGTTCGGTGTTGTCTGATTTATGACTTTAAAGTTGTCTGCAACTGCATCAAGTGCCACATCAAGCCTTTGGGGATGATGATGTGAGTGAACGCACTGTCAGGCATCGGTTCCAGAAGTTCAAGTCGTGAGATTTGTCCCTTTGCGATGAACCCCGCAGTAGTCGGCCATAGGTCCCGGATGATAATTCCCTGAAGGTGGGGGATATAGGACGGCAACTGCAAAACTTTTAGTGAGCTGGCCGAACGCTTCCAGGTTTCTGATGAAACAGTCAGTTCAACTGCACTGCATAGGGAAGATGTACAAGTTCAGCAAGTAGGTACCCCACACACAGGCGGGTAGCCAACAGGCAACAACGAATTACAGCCTGTTTTTCGTTGCTTTCTCAGCACCGCAATGTGCCGATATTTGATTGAGTGCTCACCAGTGATGAAAAGTGGGTCCTGTATGACACTGCAAAGCGTGTCAGTTGTCACCACAGAATTCTGTGCCTTACACCACGAGGCCACACCTACACCCACGCAAGATTAAGCTCTGTATCTGGTGGATAAGTCGACAAGTTTTGCACTATGATCTGCTACCAACGGGCCAAACCATCACTGTGAACCAGCACGCGTTGCAATTTTAATGTGTGCAGCAGGCACTGAAGAAGAAAGCGCCAGCATTCGTTAATCGCAAGGGTGTACAGTTCCTCTATGACAGTTTATGTAGTGGAATCTCATTTCCTCACCAGCTACAAAGGAAGACAAGGTCTTTTCATCTGCAAGGAATGCCTTAGTCTTTTCAGAAGCAAAATACATTGTGTTTATTGACTATCTTAAAATGGGCCACATCATCAATAGAGAGTATTCTGTCAATTGCCGAGGATTTTACGAAAGGATATCAAGACCAAATACTCAGGAAAATTGACGAAAGGAATCTTGTTTCTTCAGGATAAAACTCCAGCTAACAAATACTTCGTTGCAATGGGTACAGAGTGTGAATGTGGTTTTGAGCACGCGTGCACACACACACACACACATATATATATATATATGTATGTAGAGAGAGAGAGAGAGAGAGAGAGAGAGAGAGAGAGAGAGAGAAATAGGATGTCCTTCGGAGATTAGGTATAATCATATCGTAAAAACTCTGCGAGATAGACATATAAATGTTGTGGAATTGTGCAAAATAAGAGGTGGCGTTGCAGTCAATATTATCCAAATAGTATCTCTGTTTGAAATCGGACACCAACTTTATACTCAACACACACACACACACACACACACAATGCTCACACACATATGTATGCGTGTGTGTGTTTGAATGCATGCAGTCTCACACACACGCACGCACATACACAAAAAGATGTATATATATATATATATATATATATAGTGAGGAAAATTAATGAGAAAGTTCAGAATAATTGTGTATATGATCCGTTTTGTCCATTAGGATTTCATGAGACGAACGGACGAAACGTATCACAAGAAAATCATTTTTCCACTTTGTCAGTAGTTTTCATAACATTTTTTTTTTTATATATATATATATATATATATATATATATGTGTGTGTGTGTATGTGTGTGTGTGTGTGTGTGTATATTTGGACAGCAATCCCTCTTTTTTCATTAAAAACGACTGACAAGGTACTGCGGTTAAGTTTTTTCTTTAATTTTTCTTGTGTTCTTATATTTTTTAAAGTTATAAGAACACAAGAAAAATTAAAAAAAACATAAGAGCAGTATCTTGTCAGTCGTTAACAATAATGAAATTTATATGTGTCTGTGCGTATATATATATATATATATATATATATATATATATATATATAACAAAAACAATGTAAAACTTAGTTATTGTTGTATGCCGAACGTAGGGACTATTATAAATGGATTGAATAAGAAAAAAACTAGGAATGATCCACGTAGTAATCCTCCTACTTGTAATTGTAGAAACAAAAAACATCTGTCCATTACAGGAAAATTTACAAAAATACTGAGGATACTAATCCTAAAACATACATAGGTGCTACTCAGGATAAATTTAAAAAAGATATTATAACCACACGAGTAGTTTTAAGAATGCAAAAATTAAACATAGTACCACGCTATCTACCACGTATGGAAAACCAAAAAGAAGATAATATAGACCCCATCCTTAAATGGGAAATATTAAAAAAATGCCCAAAATATAAAGCAGGCCATAAATTTTGCAAATTATGTGCTGAGGAGAAATTAGCCATAGCTTTATATGATCAACCCAACCAACTATTAAACTCTAAAACTGAAATTCTCAATGTATGTAGACATAAAAAATCTTGGCTACTAAATTAGACGTTTTCCCGTTATTGACTTTCCACTGAGGTTTTTTTTTTTTTTTTGTTGAATAAATATTCCCCCCCCCCCACTTAGGTTGTTTTTTTTTTTTTTTTTTTTTTTTGTTTTTTTTTGTTTTTTTTTTTTTTTTTATTTTGTCACGTGGTATGATTTTAGCTATCACCTATAAATATGTGTTTCTCTTTGCCTCGTTAGCCAAACTTTCCCTGACAGGACTTTTGTGTTCCGTCTGTTTCAGTTTTTTTTTCTGACCGTCGAACTCGTTTTTTAATATATCCTGTGTTGCAGTTTGACGAGCCTGTGTTGAACCGAGAAGATTTACTTCAGTTCTGTACGAACTTTTTGAGTGACGAACTTTATTGGCAACACCAAGTCTTTCGGTTAAGTTTTTGTTTAAGTTTTTATTCTTTTTATTTTTTCCATTTATTTTGTTTGTTTTAAATTTTTTATACCTTTCTTCTTTGGTTGCATTTCTTTTCGTTTGACTAGTTTGTTTTTCTTTTGACTTTAATTTATTTTCTTTAGCGGATTTTTTGTACATTTTGAATTTTTGGAAAAAAAAAAAAAGAGAGGAGTTACTGGTTTTTCTTTTTTTTTTTTGGCTGCCTTTGGGCGCCATTTTTATTTTTTTTTTTTTTATAAAAAGTCTTACCTGTTTATTTATTTTCTTTCAGTTTATCTAGTTTGTCTTTTATTTTACTTTTTAGTTTATTTTTAAATCTTAATTTCCTGGGTTATCCAGGCTTTCTTTTATTTATTTTTTTTTTTTCCCAACTCCTCTCCCCGTGGTTTTGGAAAACAATTTAGAGACCCGCAAGTGGTTTTCACCACGCTTTTTTGCAACATGGCCGACGAGGCTAGTCGGTCGTGTGTAAAAAAAGACCTTTTCGGGGCGACTTTAGCTGCCGACATGCCGGATAAATCCGCAAAAAAGCGGGCTAAAGCTAGCCCAAAATCTGAAGAACGAGCTAGTAGCGCCAAAATGGTGAAACTGGCAAGAAGAACGAGGTGCCGAGCGAGGCACAATCTAAGACTGTTGAGGAGTTGCCCTCTTGTTGGAAGTCCCCCAAGTTGCATTTTGAACATGGCGGATTTCTTGGATAAGGCAAAAAATTATGCCCATCTTGTAAATAAAGAGGGGCTGGTCGAAGTTGTCCAAGAGCTCGATGTGTTCGCAAAGAGAATGGTGTCCGTTTTCGTGGTCGATAAGAAAACACGTAAGATTTGTCGTTCCACGAAAGACATAGTGATTAAATCACTTTTGTCCCTGGGGATAAAACCCCAAAGAATAATAAAAGGTACTGGTTTTTTCATGTGGGACATTCTGCTGCCCACGCCAGAAGATTGCCTGGCAATGGCGAAAAAGGAGTTAATTACTAAGGACTTGATCCTTAGAACGGAATACGAGGGTCGGAGAAGGACCAGGGTGGCCGTTTTTGAGGTTCCTCCTCAAATTTCGGGAGAGCATCTAGCTGCGTTTTTTATGCAGTATGG